CCCTCCGTCTTCCCGGTACCAACCCATATTTATACGGTCGGTACTCCACTATGTAAATTAGGTGGATCCTATTAACAACAATATATATATATATATATATATATATATATATATATATATATATATATATATATATATATATATATATACACGGGTATTAACTGCAAAATGTCCAAATCGTATAACTGCATAATTGTCCCCACCACAAAATGTTTAATATTTAAAAAAAAAAACACGAAACTAAATCAGATATAGTTTTCCAGGTTTTCAAATAAAACGTTTGGCCATCTTGACATTATCTGTGGTTAGAATCACTGAAAAACTCTTTCAGTTATGTAGGTAGAAAGAGAAGATGTTAAAATTCGTTTTGTTTCCATCCTACAATGTCGTGCCAACTGAGCAATGGTGAGATGAAAATCATCATTTAAAACTTTCAGTAATTGTACCAACATTCATACTCTGGCTTCCATCTTCAAAGATCATTCATGGATTATAAAAAGAACGGTGAATAATTTTAAAACAGTAGAGAGAAAATCTAGACCAGGAAATCACAACAGGAAGAAAGATCATAATTTCAACTTAGAGCTAAAGAGATCAATTAAAAAAGATCCAACTCAATCTATAAAACGTTTGACACTTGAGAGAGAAGTTTCAGCTATGACAGTCGAAGGAGCGGTGAAAAAAAACTTGAAAATGAAATCGTACGTGAAACATGTGAGTCAACTTGCTACTCCTGGACTGAAAGTTAGAAGGTTAGAGAGGGCGAAGATCATCGTGAATAAGTTGAAATGATCCTGGAATATATATATATATATATATATATATATATATATATATATATATATATATATATACTTTATTTCTATCCTTAATGAGCTTCCGATCCTTACCTATAATCACTTAATTATGAACATGTTATTTCGTTTATGATCGATTTCATCACGATTCTTCTGTTAAGCTTTGTGAGTAATTATACATTCGTATTGCTCAAAGTAGAATCCAATAGTGTTATAAAACGCTCGGAGTATTCCAGTAAAATATCTTTAATCATTTCTAAGATACAACGTTCCTAACCTTAATCTAACAAATGGACAATTTTGCTGTTACAGGATTTGGAGAATTTTGCTGTTACACCCAGCATATATATAGGTTTTTCAATCTATTATAGTGCGAAACCTTTATATAGCTTTTTAACTCTAGACTAAATCGAACCTCTTTAAATGGATTCTTTAATCTAGTGTTGACCTAAACACCATTTTGACTCTAGTCTAAACTGGACCTATGTCTACCTATTTATTCTAGTGAAACCGGCCTGTCTACCTTTTTTGAAACTCGTGTAAACCGGACATTTTCTCATTTGTACAATCATTTCATCCTAAGCAAGGCAATAAAGTCACTAAGACGCATGCGGGTACTGAGTGTGAACTAATATACGAAAAGCAAAACACTATTAAGGAGAGAAGACAATAAAAGAACAGGTTATTTAGAAGACAGAAGATAACAATTAGTAATCCATTAAAATTTTTGAAGATCAATTTGGCTGGAAAACAAGAAACTAAAATAGAGTCCTACAACCGAAAAGTGCGAGAGACGAAACTGTTAACATAGAACTTACACCCTTGTGCAAATTAATTGAAACAACCGCTGTAGTTTCCTTTTTTACACCATACGATCAGTTTTAGACCTACTGGAGTGACAGGTTGTAATTCATTTCTATTTTTTCCACAGATTAGGTCATTTGTAGTGGAATGAATCTGTATTCAGGTTGTATGATGAATTTTCTTTGGATCTGAAAAATATAACGTCAAGATACTATTGTCTCAACTTTCGATTAGTTGTCCTACGGTCATTTTCTGCGATGGACGTTAATCCAAGGCAGCGTACGAAAATTGTAATGCTTTGCTACTGAGCAAATCACAGTAATATAGACTGGCCCGGAAACTCTCCTGATTTAAATTTAATCTAGAATCTGTGGTCAATCTTCAAGGAACGACATCGTGGAATGGATATACGAAGTACTAACATGTGCACTGGGTCATGTTTCATTGGAAAAATACGAAACAAATGTAAATAATTCCGGAATTATTCATTTTGTTTCAATTAATTTCCACAATTGTGTAAGTTTAAATCTAGCTATTTCAGCTTTGAAACGATTAGATCTTTGCCGTCAATATAATAAAACGCTTAAATTCTTCAACTTTAGTTCCAAAAGAGGAAGGCTTATTTTGACAATTACCATAAAATAATTATAGGAAATAAACAGCGAAGCTTACTTATGTGGGTGAGAAAGTGATAGAATCCGAGATGCCATATTTGCATCTCCTTTTTTTAAATCTAGTATAGATCTAAATTTGTTTCAACCTGTTTCACTTTACGGTAAAACGTTATTTTATCAAAGTTTTGAACCCCAGCGTTGAACGAATTTCTGTTAATTTTTTTTTGACTCTAGTATAAAAATTTATCTATTTATTTTTTTTTTTTTGAATCTAGTGTAGACCTTATTATTAAAGATACTCAAAGAATGGGCAAATGTTAGACTTATAAATATATAAGATAGATTCAGGCGAGAAAAAAATTGTCTAGCACATCACAGTGAATCAAGATACTTAGAAGAATACGTTACAACTGGCTCAATATAATCTTTCTATTTTGTCAATCTAATACGACGCTTTAATTTGTAAAATAGTCGTAGCAAAGAAGAAAACTCACCAGCAAATTACAATAAAAATATTTCTAGAAAAAGCACAGGGAAGTTACATTATAGTACTGAGGGAGTGACTGAAGCTGAGATGACAGATCAAGAGCAATAACATTGCAGATATCTATTTGGATTTTATCAAGAATCTCTAAATATAAAGCCGTAGTAGTAGACAATATGTGGCAGAAATATTCAATGCAAGGAAGAATGGTAGACTCAATGGTAGTAAATACAAAAGAAGAGCAATAAATATTTATTATGCACTGTTACATTAGAAAATGTACATACCCACTACAAAACTGTACATCTTGTTTCAACGTTAAAAAAATTATTAACGTTTCAGCCGGTGGGAAATCACGATGCTGCTAAAATATTTTATACACTTAACGAAGCACATCTTCCAATAACAGAGGTGGAAGGTCTGCTTCGGTAAATGTATTTCGTAATAAAACTTGGTTGGAGCGTACAACGGCCGAAACTTTGTAATAAATATGGCGACAAAGATGAGGACAATAGTCTGAATAATGTAGATAGTCTACATATACGTCATCTCAGAAATATAAACAGATACTGAAAGACCAAAATGTTGTAATAAATATGGGGACAAAGATGAGGACAATAGTCCGAATAATGAAAATAATGTACATAATACCTCATCTCAGAAATATAGACAGATACTGAAGGGCCGAAATGTTGTAATAAATATGGCGACAAAGATGAGGACAATAGTCCGAATAATGTAAATAATGTATATAATACCTCATCTCAGAAATATAGACATAAAATATTTTACTAGCATCGTGATTTCTCACCTTATGAAACGGTAATAATATTTTAACGTTGAAACAAGATGTACAGTTTTGTAATGGGAAGAATGGTTGACTTGTAAATATTTAAGATAGATTCTGGCGAGTAAAATTGTCCAGCACAACACTAAACTTTTGATGTAACCATATGAAACAAAGCTGCAAGATGCTGAAGATATTTTGAACTTTATGAACGCTTTTTTTTTCAATAATTTATGAAACTGTAAGTCTGAAAATATTAAAAATAATATATGCAAAAGAATTAATCACTTTGGAACGGAATTTTTTAGCAGATACAAATGCTTATAGAAATATTTCTTCATCAGTATAACCTGCATTGCTTTCTAGAAAGTCATTCTATCTGTCAACAGGTTTATAGATGCTACGTTTGTAAAGATTTTTAGGTTTTGATATAAAATACGTGCCCAAGTCATATTCAATCTTTTCTCTTGATGGCAACCTTGGGGTATCAAAATGCTTATGGAAATCACTAAATAAATGTCAATTAAACAAGAAAGATTGGAAGAATAAAGGAAGCGTACTACTAGATTGGCAGTTAGGTCTCCTCGTTTTAATGTTGAAATACCTAGATGCAACCGTATGTTCTATTCTAATAGTTTCTTTTCCGCCCATGGAATTCCTGTTCCAGTTACGAGCTTCCCTGCCACATAAAATCTTAGGAAATTTAAAATTAACATCACTCGCCATATTCTGTCTTTCCGAACTCAGTTCTTTTATTGTTTTTTTTCCTCACTTCTCCTCACTAATGTTTTTCTCTTTCTTTTTCACGTTGCCTCTTAGTGGCGTTATCGCCTTTCTTGGGGTAAAATTATAAAAAAAAAACAAAACAGATAAAATGACCAATTTCATTCAATCTCTTATCGTCGACCCGGTTAAAATACACATTATTTTTGTTACAAAAGTAAAATACAAAATTGTTTACAACTTCAGTATCTGTCTATATTTCTGACATGAGGTATTATGTACATTATTTACATTATTCGGACTATTGTCCTCATCTTTCTCGTCATATTTATTACGTTTCGACCTTTGAGTATCTGTCTATATTTCTGAGATGAGGTATTATGTACATTATTTACATTATTCGGACTATTGTCCTCATCTTTGCCACCATATTTATTACAACGTTTGATGTATCTGTCTATATTGATGAGGTATTATGTATATTATTTACATTATTCGGACTATTGTCCACATCTTTGCCGCCATATTTATTACAACGTTTCGGCACTTCAGTATCTGTCTATATTTCTGTGATGAGGTATTATGTACATTATTTACGTTATTCGGACTATTGTCCTCATCTTTGAGCCATATTTATTACAAGGTATGCAATTCGACTGCACCACCAAGAATACCACCCTATTTAATGGCAATATATATATATATATATATATATATATATATATATATATATATATATATATGAAACAATGAAAAATCTGTCTAGAGTAACGGAACGTTTATTTCAACGAATGTGTCAGAACGGAGGAATTTTTCGCAAGTGTAATCCTCTTTGAGTGGTGCATGAAATTACCATTTTGCCAAAGACGGCATTGTTTACAGATTTGATAAAAAATGTCCCAATAGGCGAGCAATATTCCCGATGTAAAGAATTTGTCTATACGGAACATCCATCTATCTATCTATCTATCTATCTATCTATCTATCTATCTATCTATCTCTCTCTCTCTCTCTCTCTATATATATATATATATATATATATATATAATTATGAAAGCTATACTGAACATCAGTGTGGGAATTCCAGACTACTGCTTGTGTTACTCAAACAGAAAATAATATTCGGATGCACACACATACACATACACAAACACACGTGCATACATACATAAACACACACGCACGCATGCACACACATACATATATATATATATATATATATATATATATATATATATAATGTATAGGCTTTTAATATATTTTATATATATATATATATATATATATATATATATATATATACAGTGGACTCTCCTGTTGTATTCGACGTATGAGGGTCAAGCAGCTCAGTTGATATGAGCCGACAGCCCAGACACCAGCACATATGATTTGATTAGAGTGGTGAAGGTTTTGTGGAGAACCAACCACACATTTTTAACGGCCGAATACAGAGACCTGGTGCACTGCGTGCCACACGTTCCCCAAACAACCCTCCGCAGGTTTTGAATTCAGAGTTGTCCTTCTCCTAGACCAGTTGCCATCCAAGGCTATAGAACCTTGTCTGTCTCGGTATTTACCCATAGATGAAAGTAGAAAAAGAAGATTAATAGCTTTCTCAAGGATATTAGCACGTAAATGAATCTAATGGATTCTAGTGGAATTCGAACTCGGCTCTCCGATTCCTTAATCAGAGCCGCTATCTAAAAGTATCCTCAGAGAAAACTATAACCAACAGATTTGGAGTTCATTTTTTTTTTAAAACGAGGCTTTTCATCTTTTCTCCACGAGCTTTTAGCAACGAACAGATGTCGAAGTGACAACATGAATCCAGACTTGAAATCAGGACTTAAAAATAAACAAACACAAAACGAAAGAGTCCAAATGTTTGCCACCCGTTTACCTAAACGACAGAGATAATATCATTTACTTGCAGACGACAAAGGACAATCTAATTTGGTTTGGTTTCATTTGTTTTGTTTTGTTTTTTTTGTTTTTTTGTTTTTTTGCGGCCTGTCAACGGCGACCTCTATAGCTTATTTAATAGCAAAGTTAGAATATTTTAAACGTAATTTTATGTCTGCAACTACGGGTATTTTGCACATGATTTTATAATTTCAGGGCAAATGAATATCTTCATATGTATATATATATATATATATAGTTTGTACATAAAATATATTACTGGTATTTCCCGATAAAAATGTATTTATTTTTTTAATTTAGTGCCGTATTGATTGTTATTTTGTTATAAAAATGTATGACTACACTTTCTTAGGTAACTACCAAACACTTTCTTCTCATATCTGGGAGAGGTGCTACCACTTTATATCTTCCGGTGTCACTTTTATATCAAGTTATCTACTATTGCATGACGAAATACAATCATAGTATTGAAACATGGTAGCTTTTGTGAAGGATGTAAAATATTTTTATTATAATCTATTATAATAAAAATATTACACACACACACATATATATATATATATATATATATATATATATATATATATATATATATATATGTGTGTGTGTGTGTGTGTGTGTGTGTGTGTGTATATATATATATATATTTCATTAAAGACGACAGGCACGGCGACGCAGTTAAGATTTTTATGTAATTTTTCTTGTGTTCGACCAATACAGAGAGTGTAGAGGCTTTCCAAATATTTTGTAATTCCGAACAATTTTTATTCTTGCTTTTTAACTGGGTTGTGTTTCTAGAGTTATAGGGATGTTTTATTTTTCGAAGTTAACACATTGTGGTTATATATACATACATACACACACACACACACATATATATATATATACCCTCTATGCCAGTACATATATATATATATATATATATATATATATATATATATATATATATATATATATATACCCTCTATGATAGTACATTGTCGGAAGTCATGACTGCGTATTCTGATGAAATGCCATTTTGTTGAGTCATTAAAGTAATTTATTATATATTATTTCCTTTACTTACATCGAGTGTATACACAAAAAACAAACACACGCACGTAGAAAACACACACAGACACACACACGCAGGCACATACACACACACATATATTTCTAAAGAATTAATGGATTCATTATTAATTCGACATTTTTCTTACTTTTATTTATGACTTCAGACGCTATTATATTAAAGTATTTCAAATATGAGTAGCAAGTATCAAATCCTTTGAAATATATTATATATATATATATATATATATATATATATATATATATACATGCATCAACATGGATACCTACATTTCTTATTACATAAATATTATAAGAAAAGAAATTCTATCAAAATATATATATATATATATATATATATATATATATATATATATATATATATATATATGAGTTTGTGACCCTGGGCTTCACAAACTCACATCAATCCAACCAAATATGTTAGCCCTATCTCCGATAATAAGTACCGCGCATATAATATATAAATAATAATAATAATAATAATAATAATAATAATAATATATTATTATTATGATCAAAAGAAGCTCATAATTAAGATAATCAAACAAATAATAACAGATATAAACAAAGGCACAGTTTTAAACAAATTAATAGGGAATGTGCTTTCCCTGTTTTGAAATTACTTGAAGAAGTCGACGATCCATAGAATTTGTTAATTTTAGGATGTCATCTGCTGTAATGCCGCGAGATATGTCAAGAATTGCTTCCCACGACTCAGCGTTGCTCCTGAATTATCGTCCGTTGGCGTACAGTCTTCGCTTCATGATGCTCCAAAGGTTTTCGATTGGGTTCAAATCCGGAGAATTTGCTAGCTACTTCATTTTTCGAGGTACATCGAAGCCTAACTGTTTCAAATATTCAATAGTCTTGTAGCAGCATGTGAGGGAGCATTATCTTGCATAAAAAACAATGGCCCTTCTGAAGGCAACTCTTTGCCTTTTCATTCACGGTTCAAGATGCTCCTTCATAAACGCTATGTATGCATCAGCAGTCATTTTGACGCCATCTAGTACTCTCCATGTGCCCACTAATTTTTTTCCAATAATACCACCCCAGATCATTATGCCTCCACCGCCTTGTTGGCGTCTCAAACGCTGATGGCGATTCTCTCCGTTCATTACCCAGCCTTTGCATCATCTATCTGGCCCATCAAGTGTTGCTCGAGTTTCGTCTGTGAACAAATATTTAGAGAAGTCAATCTTCATATTGTCCTCGGCCAATTTCAATCATTTTTGAACGTGATTTCTCGTCAACGGAGGCTTCGATACAGGTTTGACTGTTGTTGCTATTTCGCTCAGATACCGACACCGAGTACTTTTAGACACAGTACGATCCCTAATGCGACTGAAAAGCTCTTGACTAGTAAAGTCCAGGGTTCTTCGTGACCTTTCGTTTAAGTTGTGACATGAGACAACGTGAAATAACCCTTGGCTTGCCTTTATCTGCCCTTTTGCGTGCTTGTGTAGGGTTGGCGGTGAACGTTTTCATTGTTTGATGACATCTCCCTATCATTTTAGAAATTTCTAGAGTAAATTTACCTTTTGAGAGTTCTGAGGTGATAGTTTTCTTTTCAGCATCACTTAAACTGCTTTTACGGCCCAACTTTTCACTCAATTCTTACACTTTTCTAATAATTTGGCACGCTCAAATCACCATGCTGATAACAAATATGGCGCCAGTTTGTTTACATTACGCAGATCAGTAGGAAAATTTCAGTGATTGCGCAGGTCAGTGTTGCCAAGATTGTGTGAAAAATTTGTGCGAACTGATTGGACGGTTTTTGAAATATTAGAAAAAATTTATCACGACAATAATTTGGCACGCAGTGTATCTATCTATCTATCTATCTATCTATCTATCTATATATATATATATATATATATATATATATATACACTTTTCACATACACACACACACACACATATATATATATATATTCTAATAATAATTGTACGTTATAGGAGAAACAAGAAACAAACTTTATGTCGAGGATTTTCTGTATAAAGAATTCACGCGCATTGAATTTGATATACACTGACAAGCGCACAACTGCATCCTTTGCATCTGTTGATGTTTGTTCTGCGCATGCTCATCTAAATAGAATTATTTTCTGACTTTTTTTGGTGTAAATCTAATATTAATTATATATAAGTTATTTGGAAGTTTTTTCTATAATTTCCTCCCCCATGCAAGTTGGTAATGTCACTTGTACGCATCAAGTTAAAGGGAGTGAAAATCAAATCGGACAACCGGTTGGATTGAGGAAAGAAAATTAAAAAGAAGATGGACGGGGTACAAAAAGACGAGAAGTTGTCGACTGAGGGTTGCATTTCAATTTTTGAAGATTGTATTGAAGGGAGTTCCACATGTGGGAAGTACGAGAAAAGAAACTTTTGGTGAATGTTGCATTTAGCTATTTAAGCAGTAAAAATATTGGACCTAGTTGCCAATCTTGTAGCACGCTTAAATTCGGGACACCTGGTAAAAAAGAAAACTCCTCAGAGCAGTTGCCATGTAAATATGTGTAGAAAAGATAGTGTAGCCACGTTCTGTCGGTGAGAAGTTGACTGAAGTTGCGATGCCTCGTCAGGATCGATTATATTGCGATGTCTGGTCAGGATCGATTATATTACGATATCTGGTCAGGATTGATTATATTGCGATGCCTTGTCAGGATTGATTATATTGCGATATCTGGTCAGGATCGATAATATTGCCATGCCTCGTCAGGATCGATTATATTGCAGATCCTTCTTTGGATTTTGTCAAGAATCTCGAGATCTGTAGCAGAAGCACAAAACTAAAAATGGCAACAGTTTTCAATGCACGGACGAATGGTAGATTTGTAAATGCGCAAGACTGATTCAGACGAGAAAATTTTCTGCAAACGCCACAGTGACCCAACTCTCCTTGCAGTAGATGCAGCTATTAATTCGGTGTAGTAACTCCTCTTCATGTCAGTGAAAAACGTAACGCCAAGAAGTTGTTACTCTTGAAGTTTAGTGTCATGATGGCAGGCAGAAAAAAGTTCTCTCGGTCGGTTTAATGAAAGCATTTTTTTTGTGGGGGGTGAGCTGTTACAATTAGAAGTTCATATCTTGCTCCAATTACCCACTGATTGGACGTTCTTTTCAAGAACAGCTGCCACGTTTACTTTGTCAGTTATGTCGTATTTACTGTTGAGACAAGAATAAATGGTAGTGTCATTTGTATAAATACACAGTTGCGAACAAATAACATCATTGCTGAAGATCACTATCAGTATGGGACCCAGGAGATGGCCTTGGTGGACCTCCGCGTTCGTATGAAAGGATCTGGAAGCAAGCCAGTTTAACGCGACCTTCATTTCACGATTTGATAGGAACGACTGGATTGAACCAAATAATTGTCCTGTAACACCGTAATCCTGGAGCTTGCCATAGAATTGTAACAGGTCCTATCTCCGTAACCGTGTCTGGGTGGTGTTCATACAAGTTTCTTTCAGTTTCCTTCCCGTAGAAGTTGCAGATTTTCCAGTGCAGATATTGGCCCACTCTGTCATGTTGGGTTTTATACTCAGTGGGTGCCAACATCGTGCAACCTGATACAAGATGATCAATCGTTTCTGGATATTTATCACAGAATCTGCATTTTGGGTTAACAGAATATTTTAGTATATGTGCTTAATAATTCCTAGTTAACAACCATTGGTCCTGTGCAGCAAGTATAAAACCTTCAGTTTCAGGTTTCAACCCTGAACTCTGTAGCCACTGATGGGTACGGGTTTTGTCTACGTCAACTTGTTTGTTTATACTCGTGGTATTGATAATAGTTTTTAATTTAAAATGAATATATAAAAATCATATGAAATGTTTAGATTTTTTGTCCTCTTATAACGTAAGGTTTGCATAGTTAAATATATTTCTTCTTCTTAAAGTGTCTTTTTTCACGTACTATGAATAATTTTGTTTGAATTTGTGATTTCATTAAAAATACCATAAAAATCTGAGATGCGACAATGTAAGCTGTAATATGTTACTATCTTGTAGCGTTTTATTTCCGTTCAAATTTGAATTCTCGTTCTCAGCGAGACTTCATTGGTTTAAACTCGTATCAACAACTTCTAAACAACTTTTCTTTTCCATTCTCTTGGTATTAAGGTTGATTTCTTTTGCTTTCTTTTGCTTTTCTTTTCTCTTCTTTTTCTTTTTATTGATTTCTTTTTTCTTTCTTTTTATTATTATTATTTTTGCCTTTTATGGAAAAGTTTCCCAAAAGAAACCAGGAAAGGTCCTCCCAGCTGATTAAAAAGCAGCAGTTTTGTTTTGATAGAGTTAAACAAACTTAGCTCTTATTTAATCGTTAGAGAGAAACTTTCTTTTGTCATCCATCTTGATAGTTAATTCTGACATCCAGAAGAGTGGCTCCTAGCGATAATCGGGCCAAAGCTTTACAATGACATGACGTGAAAATTGAATAATGCATTATCTAACGGAATTGAATAAAACATTAACTATTTTTTTTTTTTAGAATAACAATAATATTTCATTATTCAATTCCTAATATTTAACCTATAGTTGGGGTGGGAAAGAAACAATGGATTCCTATCTTTAACGTCTCTAGATTTTATGTTTTGCGTGTGTTTTGTAAACAATTGAATAAGATAATTTCGAAAAAAAATCCAGTTACTTCTCCAACCCTTGTCTACCCTCCCGGTTGCACCAGCATTTTATGCTGGCATGTCTATGGTAACGTATTCTCGCTATCTTCCGCAGAAATCTCGTCGATCGAGCCATTCATGTCTCGCTATCTTCGAATCAATTTGTGCCATCTTTACAACGTATCCCAATACAAAATTCTTTTCGTTACGATCGCTAATGTCACGCCGATGTGGTTTCTTTGTTTGCTGTGAAATAGGAATTAATATCCAATATCTGTGTGTCCTTGTATATGTTTGTCTGTCTGTAGGTGCGTCTGAATATATTTCTGTTATCTGAAAGGTGCGTCGAGGGCGTAAGGGTTGGCTACGTGTAAGTGACAAGGAGAATTTCAAAGAATACAATAAGAAAACGGAAGTTAAATGCCCCCGCTAAACCTTGTCATCATTTCTTTCATTTCCTTTATTGCTGATACTTGTAAATTCAGATATTCTTTTTCATTCATCACATTTCTTCATCTATATGTTCGAGTATATCATATTTTCTTCGTATATACCAGTCTATTTATCTACCCTCGACTGCACACGTATATTTTATATTGCTGTATCAACTCGCTCTACTTTCAAATATCCCGAAGTTTTGTTACTTTAAACTTTATTTTAGTGGATATTCTTAATTGAGTAGACGCCGTATTTAATTTAAATAGCATTTGTTTGTTTACTGGCCTAGATACTCGAGAGAAAAACTTCATACAGTAAATGTACCCACTGGAACTCTTAAACCTTCGTCCATTTTATTCAAGAAGATCTGCTGCCTGATACGGCCTGCTTTTACCACATGGCTACGTAGAGCTACACAATATAGCACGGTTCTATTTCACCTTTTAAATCACGGTTACGTAGAGCTTAACAATAAAACACGGTTCTATTTTACCTTATAAATGACGGTTACATAGAGCTTCACAATAAAGCACAGATCTATTTTGCCTTATAAATGACGGTTACGTAGAGCTTAACAATAAAACACGGTTCTATTTTGCCTTATAAATGACGGTTACGTAGAGCTTCATAATAAAGCACAGATCTATTTTGCCTTATAAATCACGGTTACGTAGAGCTTAACAATACAGCACAGATCTATTTTGCCTTATAAATCACGGCTACGTAGAGCTTCACAATAAAACACGGTTCTATTTTACCTTATAAATCACGGTTACGTAGAGCTTCACAATAAAGCACAGTTCTGCCTTATAATTCACGGCTACATAGACCTTCACAATAAACCACGGTTCTATTTTGCTTTATAATTCACACTTTCTCCAAAGCTCCCGAGTAAAAATCTTCTTGGCAAAAATTGTTTAAATTATTTAACTGTTTAGAAAAAAAGGATTTTTAATTCGGTCGAATGTAAATTGAAAATGATGAATATTCACTCGACCAGTAAATGAAAAATGCCAGAAAATTGTGAAACTCAGAACTGTTGCATGTAGCTCATCAGCAAACGTTGCAGAATTGATCACACATGGTTGGAATAAAGTCTTGCAATCTGTCTGGGGATCTTCACGAAAGAACTTAACATAAAAGGCGTCGTCTTTGTTAATGGATATTGACATTGAATGAGACGACAGAGAGGCATTTCGATTTATCTTCACCTATTAATAAGATTATTATTTCGAAGGGCGTCGTCAGCAAAAAAAAAAATATAATAGTATTTAAAAGAGCAGTCCAGTGCTAGTGAATTCTGCACCAGAATCCCCCCCCTCCCCGACCGGGAGATTCCAGGCAGTGCTTTTTGACTCTAGCAATCCTATTATAAACAGTTGCTTTTTTTTTCTACCTTCATTTATATACATTAGAAATTAAATTAAGCATTACTGACTGTTAACCCTTTGATTTCTAAGTCCCTGAACGATTTCAACCCTTCCGCCTGAGCTCCTGAGTCAAAATTCGCAAATAATTGGTATGTAATGTTTCACGGTAGATATAAAAATAGTTACAAAAAATATAACTTCCTGATTGCCTCCATGGCGAACCAGATTGAGACTCTGCACGCTTCATGGTAAAAACGATCTTTATTTTTTATTTTTATATAAAACACATGCACAAAACTCAATGAAAAGGCGCGGACATATTGCTATAACGTTTGATGACATCAGAATATTACGGCTTTTCTGATTGGCTCTTCAAAATAAGACCACCAATAGCAAAACACGATGTAAGCGTTTACTCACTGTTCAACCGGTGGCTGGACTTTAAGTCATTTTTCTCTACCACTGTTCAACCGGTGGCTGGGAATTACGTCATTTTTTCTCTACCACCGGTAAAGGGGTGGTCAGGGTGCAAAGGATTAAAGCATAAAACATTTTCACGGATTTTGATGTCTTTCTGGAGTCTTTTTTCGTCCAAGTCTGTGAATTTGTTTTGCTCATGTTAAGTCTTGAAAAAGCACTATATAAAATTCACTATTTGTTTTAGCCATAATAGTTAAATGCGTTTAAATCATTCAAATTTATAGAAGAAAACTCTAAAGTTGATGTTAAAAATTGCCGCAAGCGTTGTTGATTTTATTTTAGATGGACTGATCTTTTATGACATGTCTCTAATTTGCATTTAGATACATTTTATTTATCTTCGAATTGTTCATCTATATTGCATAGGATACAATAGTGTACATTTGTATTTTATATGCAATATAACTGATACATTAAAATATAGACATATTGAACACCGAGACACCCCTGTCTAGAAAAATAGATTTATCTGTAACCTTGGAAACATGAATTTTGTTTTAGCTGTGTATTTAAAACCCAGTAATTTTAAAAGTTACTCCAAAATTCGCTTGAGGATGAAATGAAACTAATGTCTTTAATTTAATCACAAAATTAAATTCGTGGCTTTTAGCTTCCATTTTTGAAACATGGTTAGAACTGTGTAGCGAAAAAAACATATTTTAAATCAATTAATTTATAATAGAGAGAAACCGCAAACGTTTTTGGTTGTAATGGGCATTTTTAAAAAGCAACACGGGTTTTCCAAAGCAACACGGGTTTCGGGTTTCGCGACCTTCTTCAGGCAAAGAGTGGATATTTTTTACATATTATTAAAATGAATTAATTTTCTTATGTTTTTCGATGTTAAACATTCTCGATGTTAAACATTCTCTTTCTTGTGCGGCAGTGACACAAATGTCTTTCTTGAACTGATAGTGTGAAAATTCTTCTGTGTGAAGGGTAATAAAACAGTTAATATTGGTCCGAGAAAGGGTGAGAAAAGATATCTGTATTCTCATCTTTTAATGAGGCCTGTGTGTTCTTAGATCAAATTTCCATTTATTTGTATTGTGTGTTTTTGTTAGCATGCGTATGTGCACGCATATTCCCTCTCTATACATACATACTGTGTTATTACAAGGAATTAATATACACATATATACACATACATACATACACACACGCATACATATATACATATATATACACACACATACACACACTTCCTATGTCGTGCATGGTTCGTGTGCATGCATGTGAGCAGTCTATTTGTTTTCGCCAATATATATATATATATATATATATATATATATATATATATATATATATATATATATATATATATATATATATATATATATATATATATATATATTGGCATGCGTATATCCCACTTTCCAATATCTATCTGTCCCAGTTTTTTAATATCTATCTATCTATCTATCTATCTATCTATCATCTATCTATCAGTTTTTTTCATATCTATCTATCGATCTATCTATCTCATTCTTTTCATATCTATGTTTTCCCTTTCTCCATCTGTCTCCAACAGTCTATTCATTTATCTATTCACCTCTCTCTCTTTCTCTCTTTCTCTTTCTCTCCTTTTTTTTTAACCTCAGTCTACCTCTTCTCCTATCTCTCCCCTCTCTCTATCTACATATTTCTGGTTTTCTAAAAAAATAAAAATAGCACTGAGAACACACACACACACACACACACACACACACACACACACATATATATATATATATATATATATATATATATATATATATATATATATATATATACTAAGCTCGTGATGATCATCGACAAAAATCGAATATACATTCACTGTGTTCATCCTTTTTTCAATATTGATTTGTTCTGTGTCCCCCAACCATCTCTTCACCCCGACCAATCTTTCATTATTTATTTTTGGAAACACTCCATAAACCATTGTAATGAAATCAGTGTATCTCTAATTAATAATTAATAAATTCGATACTTTGTGATCAATCTATGTTATCGAATCCATTGTAGTCGGTGAGTCTATTTCGATCGCTTTGGGAAACCACTCGATTACATCGTCTTCATTGAAACATTGTCCTGATTATTTAGAAATCCCCTCAGGTGTACAGGTATAGGAGTGTGTGTAGGGGGCGGTGTGATGGTTACCTGCTTCGTCATTGCCGTTTTCCTTCGGTAATGTATCGATCACGTGACGAGATAAACTTCTCTTGTAGCACAAGTAAACCAGGAAGAGTTAGCGACTCTAGACGATTGAATTACTCTTCGCCAAGGACCTAATCTTCATCTTCTTCTTTTATATGCCGTATGCATTTAGGGTGTAGGTGATATGGCCCTCCACATCTTTCTTGCCCTTGTTGCTTTTGATATGTCTTGTCTTTGTTATTTCTCCCAAATCCTGTTCTACCATCCATTTACTCGAGTTCGTCAAGTATGAGACGCGCAGTTTTCCTCTGTCCCTCAATCTGTCCTTTGAGTATCAGATTTTCCAAGCCGTCTTTCCTTATTACGCGCGCCATAAATTTGAACTGCCTTTTCCTGATGTTAAGTATAAGTTTCCTTTTTGTTTGCATTTTCTCTAAAAGTTCGTCATTGCTCACTTGTTCGGCTCATGGTATCCTCAGCATCCTTCTGTAGAAATTTCAACTGCCTCTTCCTGATGTTAAGTATAAGTTTCCTTTTTGTTTCCATTTTCTCTAAAACTTCGTAGTTGCTCACATGTTAGGCTCATGGTATCCTCAGCATCCTTCTGTAGAACAACATTTCTGCTGTTTCGCTTCTTCTTCTCAAGATATTGTCGAGTTCTTACGGCAATACAAGGAGACAAATGAGTATTAATTTAGAATTCTTTTCCTTGTTTCTAGTGAATTTTCCTGTTTCTTGGAATGCAACCTTGGATATCCAAATACTTCGGATTTCGGTGTCACTCATTCGGTCCTCTGTTAAAGCAATTCACAGATAGTTAAATTTCCGCACTTTGGTATCTTTGATTTGTAATTTGCACTTTGGATTGATCCTTTTGCTACCAACCCTGCATTCTGTCTTCTTGCAGTTGACACTTAGTCCTTTCTTCTCGCTTTCCTCCCCTATCTTTTGTAGGAGTTTTTGCAGTTTTCTTTCTGTGTCTGTTATCAACACTGTGTCATCTTATGCTGTTAAGAGTGTGGCCGCCAATAATGAATCCTGGTAGGATTTCTAATTCTCTCGGACTCGCCTCGTTGTATAGATTCAATAAGTCTGGTGAGAAGACACATCCTTGTCTTACACCCCTTTCTATTTTTGTGTATCAACTGAACTTATTTTCTATCCGATGTGTGCGTTTTAATATTTTTAAGCGTCGATTAATGGTTAACCCGCTTGCCTGGTTGATCTTTACTACAGATTAGAGATTTCTGGCCTCTCTGGGTGCCTCATATATATGACCTTTGACAACTACGATTTGCCGTTCGCACTTTGGGCTCATCCGTTTGCTAACAGCCATTCTGTCTTCTTGTAGTTGATGTTTAATTATTACTTGTTGCTTTATTTCATTACTTTCTGCAGGCGGTTTTGTAGTTTTTTTGTCTGTTGTCGTTATTGTTCCATTATACTATTAGTTATTGTTAATCTCCGAAAAAACTCTATGGAAAGAACGAACAGCATTTATTACACTATACTAGTCGGACCGTGCTGTCAAAAATGGCGACAATTGTCAGAATATTTTAATAGTGAGATGCAATTAAAGAAAAGTTTCGAAGCACTGTCGTTAGACTCAATGAAGAAGAGATAAAGAATTCACAAGTAAAATGAACCGTTTAATTAATATGTCTTTATATATATATATATATATATATATATATATATATATATATATATATATATATATATATATATATAACTAGACTCGTTTCGAAAAACCCTCGAATTTTTGATTTGCTAATCAAATCAATCTCGAGGAAAAAAAAAGGTTTAAAAAAGAAAGAGCTACAAACATGAACTTCTGCCGACAAAAAAAATCGCACAGATGCAGGTCTGAAGCCCAAAGAAAAATCCTGATACGAGTAACAACTAACTAACAAAAGAGCTCAATACAACCGTAGAGCAGACCTAGATACACCTAGTGAGCCAGACAAACCTACCTAGGTTTCACCTAAACGGATCGTCAGGGAAAGTTTGGCCAAACTTTCCTGACGATCCGTTTTAAGGTAGGTTTGTCTAGCTCACTAGGGTGTCTCTCTCTCTCTCTATATATATATATATCTATATATATATCTATATATATATATATATATATATATATATATATATATATATATATATTAAACGTTCAATGATATCTATGATTCATTGATTACTACTGGTATTATAGAAATCGCCGTTTGCTTAATATCTTTACAGGCTAAAAATGTTATGCGTTTAATATGAGAGTGAAATTGAAATATAATCTTTAACAACAGAATGACAAAGACGAGGACAAAGCCTATTTAAAGATCAAGTTTAAGCAAAACGATCACATAATAGACAAAGGTATCTGAGTACTGCGCATGAAAGGCTTGAACAAATAAGACTGTAATCAAATACATAGTAAAGAAACTGATTAAAGAAACGGCTAATTTTGCTCTGGAACTAATTTTGTCTAAATGCAGATAAATATTTTATTTGTAGATTAGTAAAATAATTAAGAGAAGTAATTTTATTGTTCTCGCCCCTTAAAAGTGTTTCTCTTTATTTAGTTATTTTTTCCAACTCAGTAACCGTCCTGGGTATGACGATAAACTACGTCCAGCAGCAAGGCCACTGATCAAGTGGTTTTGAGGAGCGTGGAAACACTTCTTAATTCTTGATGTTCCCAGGTCCACACTGCCCCGGGGTGGTAGTACCTGTTACAGTCCCAGATATGGGCAAATAGTTAACCTCGAAACTGGGGTAAAAACACTACAAAAAAAAGATTGCCAACAATTTTTTTTAAAAATAAATATTACTAGAAATACATTTTTGAAAAAGATATTACCAGCAATTTATTTTTGAAGGGAAAATATTACCAGAAATAGATTTTTGACAAAACAGAATATTACCATCAATAAAAATTTTGTCGGCATTAAATAACCCATTGAGGTTGCATTATTTACATTATAGGGACTATCGTACATTTCGGCCTTCTTCAGGTAGTTGGAATGTCGAACTGAACCCTTTATTTCGCCCACTGGATAGACTGTTCTAGTTCCACGTGCCATGTTTAATGGATGTCAGTTATCAGTTATCTCCTGTTAATTTCCCTCTGAAAGTTCTCCACTGCCTTAACCAGGTATTGAACTCACACTATTTGGATCCTGTGACTGGATCTAACTAACGACTTTATCCATTGTGCCGTGTGTCCATGAGGACAATAGTCTGAATGATGTAAATAGTGTACATAATACTCATCTCAGTAATATAGACAGATACTGAAAGGCCGAAACGTTGTAATAAATATGGCGACAAAGATGAGGACAATAGTCCGAATAATGTAAATAGTGTACATAATACCTCTTCTCAGTAATATAGACAGATACTGAAGGGCCGAAACGTTGTAATAAATATGGCGATAAAGATGAGGACAATTGTCCGAATAACGTAAATAGTGTACATAAACCTCATCTCAGAAATATAGACAGATACTGAAGGGCCGAAACGTTGTAATAAATATGGCGATAAAGATGAGGACAATAGTCCGAATAACGTAAATAGTGTACATAAACCTCATCTCAGTAATATAGACAGATACTGAAGGGCCGAAACATTGTAATAAATATGGCGACAAATATGAGGACAATAGTCCGAATAATGTAAATAGTGTACATAATACCTCATCTCAGAAATATAGACAGATACTGAAGGGCCGAAACGTTGTAATAAATATGGCGACAAATATGAGGACAATAGTCCGAATAATGTAAATAGTGTACATAATACCTCATCTCAGAAATATAGACAGATACTGAAGGGCCGAAACGTTGTAATAAATATGGCGATAAAGATGAGGACAATAGTCCGAATAATGTAAATAGTGTACATAATACATCATCTCAGAAATATAGACAGATACTGAAGGGCGGAAACGTTGTAATAAATATGGTGACAAAGATGAGGACAATAGTCCGAATAATGTAAATAGTGTACATAAACCTCATCTCAGAAATATAGACGGATACCATTGAAGTTGATATACTGTAAACCAAACCAAATCAACTCAGTAACCGCCTCTCTTTTGTAGTTTTACTTAATTACATGATGAATAAACCAAAAATAAACCTAAGTGTAAACCCCCTCCAACTACACAGAGAACAGGAAATATATAAATAAATAGAGAAATTGATTACTATTTCATAAATTTATTATGTTAATTAGCTTTATTTATTTATGAACTATTTTTATATATTTCCTAATTATTGTTGATCTAAGGATTATTTTTATAATATTTCTTTATTGTTTATCTAAGGATTATTGTTAATAATATCTTAGAACTATTTCTTCTAATCGATGTACTATCATCCATTTACACATAGGGTAATTTAGATTATCAAATACTCGACAACCTCTTTCAACACGTTATAATTTTCTGTAATTGAAAATGATACTTTATTAATATCTACAATTAGATTGAATCATCCCATCACATAACTTTAAAAGAATTATCTTGCTGTAATTGTTCTAATTTATCAATGCTTATTGGTGTTAATTTCTTTTTCGTGCCTAATAAGTTCTACAATTGAACGAATCTTCTTTCACTCACATAACTTTTACTGATTACTCTTGTTGTAATCGTTGCTATTTATCTATGCTTATTGGTGTTAATTTCTTTTTGTGCCTAATAAGATCTACAATAGGTACCTCCAATTATTGCTGAAAAAATCAGTTTTGCAGTTTCAGGGAAAAAACCATTAATTTGGAAATTTTTGCAAAAATCAAATAATTGTCTAATTTTAATGAAACTTTCAGGACTTATTCAAAAATGAATTAATTTATTTTTGAAATTTTTAATTTTAGAAAATCTTGGTAAAAATATTTTTCTTACATCTGATACCCCTCCCCCCATAAACTTAGTTGTGAAAAAAAATTTGATGATTTAATTTCTCCGAGGAGTCCTGCTTATAAGTAATATAAAACAATCTGCGAACTCTTGGAAATTCTACAAAATCAATTTCGTCTTGTGCCTTTACAATTAGAAGTAATCTTTCTCAATCTTTGAACTTCATGCCCCAAACAGCGATGTGTCAAATATTCGTCTTTTCCATTGTCACTATGTTTATTTAACTACTTACACTCCCCAACAATTTTTATTGATTTAAATAGCAATGATTAGAATTGTAATAGAACCTAAACACATGGAAATAAGTTAACATATTTTCTCTGGTCATGAGAATTGACAACATAAAGAACAAACACCATTTATTTGATTGTTTATATATTATATCTAGTTCACGTATTTTAACGGTACGGAATGCTTTTCATTTGAGGTCGGGAACGTGCCTGACTAGGGCCCCCGGGCAGTGTTTTGTGACGCTAGCTATCTTGTTAAAATTTGCTTTTTTTCTGTTTACATTAAGATGCATTTCAAATTACACTAAGCACAATTGACTTTTAGTAATGGATGAAAAATCTTTGCAGATGTTGACGTCATAATGGTGTCTTTTTTTGTTTCGTCCAAATCCATGAATGTGTTTTATTCATGCTAAGTCTCGAAAAAAAACACGATATAAAATTCACGAATTTTTATCCATCATTCTGAATGTTTTAATACGATTCAATATTTTTTAACAAGGAAAATCTCAAATTGATGTTAAAATTTGCCGAAAAACATTATTTAAGATTGCATGGTTTATAATGATGTCTCTAAATTGCACTTAAATGCAATTGTATCTCCTTTCAATTTTTCAAGTTTCATTCTTTACCTATATCGCGCATGATCCATTTTTGTAAATAATTAGGTTACAATAAAATCTGTATTTTATATGAATTCTACCTAATAAAAATTAAGTGTTATTAAGAAGGGACATCGTATCTTAGATTCTTAGGGGCCCTATCATAGATTCCACCACATTTATTTAATTTTGATTAGGAAACCGCACTGATGTAAAGAAAGGACAAGGCAAAGCTATCATTATATATAAAAATTGTATTCAACAATGCATACAATAAAGAATGTGTAAGAAGAAAAAGCACGCAGTGAGTAAAACGAGAGTTGTCTCTCTTTGACTATTAAAGTCTATTAAAGTTCTCTGAAAAGAAAGAGTTAATAGTTTGTAATAAATGTTTTTTAAATTGTTTTGCTGTGCAAGAGGAAAATATGTAAGTGTAAAGGAATATGCAGTTTGTGAGAGTTGAGTGAGAAGATCAGCTCATAGCTTCAACTGTCGTGGATTTCTGTGGCAGCTGAAGTCTCACTGGTGTGTCTACACTTTTTTTCTTGCTTTTATAGGTGATCATTGGATCAGAAGTGCTGCTCGGGAAGAATCACTCTTCACGTGCAGACAATCCGATTGGTCGACACTGACCAATCAGTGAATGAGCTTTGGGGAGATTTCTGGGAGCCGGTTCTCCCAAAAGTGCACAAAATCTACTACACGAAAATATACCGATTTCAAAATTGTCGCATAAGACAGTAGCGTTGATTCCTATCCAATGAATGACTGTTATTGAAATTTGAATTTGTATATGTATGTATGTGTGTGTATGTGATGATGATCGCTATAGAGCTTTTACATCGGCCTTGGTTCTCGGCAAGGAGGTTCTTTAGGCTTCTTCGTCTCTTCAGAATTGTTGCATCTTTGGGGGTTTCTTGTAGGTTATCAAATATTAATACATTAGTTTTGAAAATATTGAATGATGCCGTTGAGCTGTAAGAGATAGATCAGGCGAGATATCAGCTGTCAGGCAGTTGTCACCAACATATTTCGTGGTGCACCCATATATACTGCTGTAGACCTAGAATCGATTCAGGCAAGGAAGGGTGTTAATTTCAAGAAAGTCGTAAAACAAAACATACGCACAGCTTTAACTGGGGCGTGAAATTGAATCGTTGGACATCTTCAAAGTCTTAACCGCCACCGCCATTCTCGGCACTACTGGTAAACTCATGTGCAGGGAGTGTAAGCCAACGGAATAGTAATAAATAATAATAAAAAAAGATATTGAGGAAGAAAAACACAAAAACAAAATATTATCAGAAAACAATAATAAGTAACGAAAATAAAAAAAAAACAATATAATTTGACACACAAATTATACAACAGATAACACTTGATTGATGTTGAAAAAATATCGTCATTTGTTAAAAAAAACAACAACATAAACGGTGAAATAAAAAAAATACGGTTTTCTGAAGGGAAGAAGGAAAAAGGCTAGTCAAGAAGAAATATAAATTTATTTGATTTATTTTTTTCTGTCTACGGATTTCGTCTTTTTATTGTCAAGTCAACGAACAAATAAACAAGATGGCTGCCGTAGCGGAGAAAGTCGCCGCGAGATCTCGTAACGTGAAAATGCGAGAGCTCAAGACATATGGAAAGAATCTATATGAAAGACTCTTGATCAATAAAGGCTCAGATCAGTTTCAAATAGTTCATTGATTTATTTAGTTATATATTTATGAATAAATAATACTAATAATAACAGAAGTAAAATATATATATATATATATATATATATATATATATATATATATATATATATATATATATACTCGACTCTCCGTCGAATTCGACGTATGAGGGTCAAGCAGATCAGTTTCCAGGAAACCGACAGCCCAACAACAGCACATGAGATTTGATTATAGTGGTGAAGGTTTCGTGTAGGACCATCCAGACTTTTTAAAGGGCCGAATACAGAGACCTGGTGCACTACGTGCCACAAGGTCCCCAAACGATCCTCCGCAGGTTTTTGAATTCAGAGTTGTCCTTCTCCTAGACCAGTTGCCATCCAAAGCTATAGAAGCCAGTCTGTCCTGATATTTTACCTATAGCTGGAGGGAGAAGAGGATTCACACCTTTCCCAAGGGTATTAGCAAGGGTATTTAATGGATTCCACTGGAATTCGAACTCGGCTTTCCGATTCCTCAATCCCAGCCGCTATTACTCCACCGTACCTCCATATATATATATGTATACAAACATATATATTTATATATATGTATATGTATACAAATATATATATATATATATATATATATATATATATGTATAAAAGTGAACATTGAAGCCAACACTCAGAGGCGACAGGCTGTTTCATGCTGTACGCAATCATTTCCTTAAAAGATCCACCATTAGCGACAGCGTTTCTCTTATGACAATGGGGGATGTTTAATAAAAAACATTCTGGAAATAAAAGAAAAAGTATTCCTAGATTATAAACCACAAACACATTCAAAAAATATCTTGTACAAAAAAATGACTATCTATCGATCTATCTATCTATCTATCTATCTATGTTCATTATCTATCTATCTATCTATGCCATTTTTATTTCATCGCTAATTATTTTAGGATGTGTATATCTTTCTCTCAATATATATATCTATCTCATTCTGTTCGTTATCTATCTACCTATCTCTCTTTCTATCTCTATCTAATGTGTGCCATTTTATCTATCTATCTATCTATCTATCTATCTATGCCATTTTGATTTCATCACTCTATCCAATTATTTCAGGCTGTTTATTTATTTATATCTATCTATCTATCTATCTATCTATCTATCTATCTATCTATCTGTCGTTTAGTATAATTTATGGAATTCCGAATTCAAGGAGAGACGACTCGTCATTTCGAAGTTCCCAGAAATCAACGTATTCCAAGCCTACCTAAAAAAACAAAAAAAAAAACCCCTTAAATGTTTCTTTATCTCTACAAGTCTATAATAATTCTAGTTAGTCTATCCGGCAATCAGATGATAATCTATATTCCTAAGTATTTGTGTCTAGGTCATTTTTAAGTACATGCCGTTTGTTTTATATAAGAATGGATTCAATAAAATTAGGCAATGAAATATGTTTTTGACGTGTGTTTATAGCTGGTAATATTTTTATTAGCAGATGCTCGATTGTACTTTCACCGTAAAGAATTACAGACAAACCTCTTATCAACGGACTAATAAGGAGGAAGGGGTGGTCCTTTAAAGCCGATTGTCCGTAGATAGGAAGCGATTATTTTTATTTATTTTTTAAAACCAATATAGTAACAGTAGTTATAATCATAATGCAAATACTATAAACATGTATATATGGCATAAATAAATATATACTTAATATAGATAAATTAATCAAAATAACAAAACTCATAGATTTCGCACAGCTACCTTCTCACGCACGCACTTTATCGTACTTTATATACTGTACACCGATCTTTATTTACAATTGAAAGGTCCATCACCATCGCCAGTTGGTCACTTTGAGAACTAATACGACTCGTTCCGCTAAGCCCACAAATTTTATATACGTCGATGACGATTTGGGGATTTTGCCCTGCAAATTGTTTTTTTTTTTTATTATTTTGCCTTAATATTTTGTCCATTGCATCCAAAGTCCGTTGATTTGGGGGTTCGTAGATGAGAGGTTTGGCTGCATTAGTAGTTACCTAAGATACCTAGATGTTATTTATTATATCCTCATAATATAAATCTATTAGACATAATAATGAAACGTAAGTTTGAACTTCGCATAGAATTAACCTTAACCTTTAACCCTAATCCTGACCCATGAACTTCCATAGAGTTCACACATGAATTTGAAACAAACAAATCATTACTTTTCCTCGACAACTTATTAATACGTGATAATAAAGAAAAATTAAGCTTTAAAGTTCATCAAAATAATGAAATTCTCAACTTAACCTCGTACATAGACTGATAGATGGAATGAATAGGATAGAGATTAGCAAACAAACATATATATATATATATATATATAATATATATATATATATATATGTGTGTGTGTGTGTGTGTGTGTTGAACAATAAAAAATATTAAATATTTTAAAAACTTAATATATTCAGACACACTGGGTTATATATTAATATTTTTTGTTTTATTATTTCAATTAGGTTTCTCGACAAGCATGGTCATCATCAGTAGAAAAAAATCCCTGCTTGTTAGTAGCAGCGAATTACAGAAGTGAATGACTGTTTCTAAAGGAGTTGAACTTTATCTGTAGTTTTCATTTGTTTTTTATCGTTAATTTTGGTCAGTCTTTGTGTTGTTCAAACGGCCTCTTTTTGACAGTTTTATTGGTTGATGGGAATGGGATGTGTATGTTAAGTGTAAGTTATGTTTTAGTTCTTGGGGAGTGTGTATGATGTGTGCATGTGCATATATTAGTATGAGTGCGTGTATATGTGTATATGTGTGAGACCTCAACACCTCTGCGAGTATGTATGTCTTATATATATATATATATATATATATATATATATATATGCATTTTAAACAACATGCCTGGCCACATACACAATTCCAGAAAATCCTTGTTGAGCGAAATGAAGGGTTCAGTTCGACATTTCGACCACCTGAAGAAGGCCGGAGCGTAAAACGTCCGAAATGTTGGAAAAATATGGCGACAAAAATGAGGACAATAGCCCGAATAATGTAAATAATGTATGTTTTTTTATCATAATAATTCTGTGTGTGTGTGTGTGTGTTTGACGGTGTGTGTATTTACTTCCTACAGAAATATCCAGGAAAGAAAATACATGTTTGCACATACGAAAATAGATAGATAGATAGATATTGAAAAGATAGATAGATAGATAGATAGATAGATAGATAGATAGATATTAAAAAGTCAGATAGATAGATATCTTGAAAAACAAGATAGATAGATAGATATCTTGAAAAACAAGATAGATAGATAGATATCTTGAAAAACAAGATAGATAGATAGATAGATAGATAGATAGATAGATAGATAGATAGATAGACATGCAGCTATCCTCTCGATTAAATACCAATACAGTATCACTTGTTGATATATCTTTGTAGAGAGCGATTTTACATTATCTTCCTGATCATGTGACGACCAAGTTTGAGGTCGTTTCCATGCAGTTGAAGTCAGAGGATAATAAACCGTTTAAAGTCATATTTCTTCTTCTTTTCTTCGATAGATCAGCACGTAAGGATAGATTTTATTTATTGATCGCAAATTGAACGTATCACCGTTCAACTCGTAGTCTACGATAATCTCCAAGAAAGAAATTGGCTCTTTCAGTGAAAAGTCATCGGTTATTAGATTTTATCACTAAGGAAAAAAATATAGGCCATTAAAAACATTGAAATGCTTTCCTAACCGCCATTGATACATGGACATGCATATTTAAAGATGATTGGATTGTTGTTTGCGCATGCGCACTTGCGTGTATGTATCTTTTCACTAAGTAATAAATAAATTTATAAATAATCGAAACGGGCAATGATTATTTTTCTCCTGAATTGTATTCCATTTGCACGATTTACATTGTTCGGACTGTTTTTCTCATCTTTATTTGCCATATTCACGACGTTTCAGCCGTTGTACGTTTTCTTCAGGTGACATATATTGGAATTTAGGCTCGGACCCTTGATTTAGTCTACTGGGATAGATTTTTCTAATTCTACATGCCGTGCCTTTTCTGGGTATATCCGTCTCAGTTTGTTCCCCTTGATGGCTCAACTCTCCAAGCTTTGAACTCACAACTCTTTGGTCAAGTCATTTCGAATCAGTTAACCAAAGCTTTTTTTTCACTGGGCCATGTGTTAAGAAGGCTTAAGAGTAGACCGACCGGAAAGTGAACACGGCAATAAAGATGAAGGCAACAGTCTGGATATTATACATAGTTAAAATACCTCATCTCAGTCGTTTAGAATAATTACGATTGGTCTTCCCCTATAAAAATAATTACAGATTTTAAATTGCTAAGATCAAAAATCTGTTAATAAAACCTTTTGCTGCCGTAGTGTATTAGCAGTCACGATTCCCCGTACCTTTCTTTTTTTTTATAAATATCTATTAAATTAGGCATAGGAAGAAAATGGTTAACTAGCGACAGCGAGGTTCGAGCGTGACACTTATGAATATATGTTTTCCGCCAGGTGTATAAATAGCGGTGTCAGGCTACTGACTGCAGTGATTATTGACTGACTATTAAGTGGAACTATCCAGTCGAATTAGTGTGAATTAGTGTACGTCGATGATTTAGGTTTTGATTTAGGATTTACCGGACGTTAAGCCGAGCCGTGCTACTAACAAGGTATTCACTGAAATGGTTAATTATCTTTGGTTGACTTTTACTGCTTTGTTCTTGTTAAGTATTTATTTGCGGTTGTAATTAAATACTGTTTTATTTTAACATTGAGGTCTTCGCTTATACTTAATTATTAACGTCTACCGTATGCCACAAAAATATGTATGAGGCCCCAAAAACTTAATGTATTTTTTAATATTAAGTGGAACTATCCAGTCGAATTAGTCGAATTAGGAAACCTAAAAAATTATAAAGCAAGAAATATTATGAAATTGTACAGAAATAATAAACACAAATAGCGAAAGCTTTGTTAATTTTAGAAAAAGCAAAAATGAGAAGGTAAATTGGGATTTAATCCTAAAATAATCGGAGATTATGAAGTCATTATTTATCAATAAAATAAACTATGCTGCATTTTTACAGCCATCATCATCATCATCATCATCATCATCATCATCATCATCATTCCCTTGACTTTTGTAATCCTAGGCAGGATCCGAAAGAAGAAGCCATATTGAATTTCCTACACAACGGTCCATCAATGGTAGCCATTAGTAATTCTGGGACAGTCATCCCTGTCCATTGTTTGACATTGTCCAACGAGTTTTTGCGTTGGCGTTCTCTCCGTCCACCTTAAAACGGTGCCTTGCATGATGGTCTTGCCTTGTCATGTGTCCAAATCACGCCATTTTTCTCCGTTTGACAGTGGCGAGAAGAGGTTGCTGATGGCCTACAATACTAACACCTAAACTATAAAGTGATCAATAAATGAGATTTGAAAACCGAAAGTCAAAATAAGACAAACGATTTCTAGGTTAGTTGTACAAAAACAAATAATTACTAATGTAGAAAAACCAGGTAACTTTTCCAATGAAATTCACCCTGTACAATGCCCAAAGTCCACTTGGGTTTGAGGATTACACAAGGAAAAGGTTTTAGTATGGACCGGAAACTCAATCTTAATCCGAAACAAAGGATAAACCTCTCCTCCCGTTCCAAAGACCGGGGAGGAGTATGAAGTGGAACCTATCCACTCTGAAAGTAATAATAATAAACAATACATATATACATTCAAACAATCATAATAATCATAATATATATATATATAATAAAAGATATAAATACTAATAGTAAATTATAAAAAAATTATATTATTATATTATATTATTATGTTATATTATTATATTATATTATTATATTATATTCTATTATTATATTATTATTATATTATATCATTATATTATATAATTATATTATATTATTATATTATATTACATTATTATATTATATTGTTATATTATATTATATTCTTTTATATTATTATATATTATATTACATTATTATATTATTATACTATATTATATTATTATAATATTATACTATATTATATTATTATATTATTATATTATATTATTATTATAGTATATTCTGTTATTATATTATATCATTATATTACATTATTATATTATATTATTATATTCTTTTATATTATTATATTATTATATTATTATACTATATTATATTATTATATTATATTATTATATTATATTACATTATTATATTATATTGTTATATTATATTATATTCTTTTTATATTATTATATTATATTATTATATTCTTTTATATTATTATATTATTATTATACTATATTATATTATTATATTATTATTTATTATA